CGATTGAAAACTCAAACGAGATATACTTACACAGATCCATGATGTGGTTCCTGCAGATAGCACAATTGTCAACAACAATATCTGCGCAATCACAATTCGATGAGCACCAAATCACAAACAAACACACGGCACCAAGCACGATAATCTAAAACACAAAACAAGAAAATCAGAGGAGCCAGTTGGAGGGGGTGGTTAGGGTTAAGGTTCAAGAGAAGAGTACCCCAAGCCCAGAGAGCGACGGCATTCCACTTTTTAATCTCGAATCGCTTAGGCTTCTTGGAAGAAGGACCGGCAGCGTCGCCGGCGGGCACCATCAGGACGTCGGAATCAAGAGTGGCCATTGGATTTACCAATTTGCAGTGGCGAGTGTTCTAGTTTGACAGTTAGAATTACCCGGTGGCGAGTTTATATAGGCAACAGGGAATAATAATAAAAAATTAATAATATCAGAAATAAGTTCAAGGATGTATTAATTTAAACAGAAATATTAATTGTTTTAAATTCAATTAATTGTTTTGCTAATTGATTCAATTCAATGATGATTTAAATTAAATGAAACAGAATTTCAAATCAATTATGATTTAAATTGATTCTCTTACGTTGGCCAAAAAACTGATTCTCTTACAGAAATTTTAAAATTAAAGGATATATTAATTCAAAAATAATTTTATCTGAAAGATTTAAACTTGATTTTATATTATAAAAAGATATCAAAATTGAAAATTAAAAAGAATCAATAAACCATACAAAAAATTATAAAACCCAGTACAAGCTGTAATATTAACTATTCCCATCTTCTGGCAACAACCAAAAAAAAAAAAAAAACTATTCACATCACTTTGGTCATTCATCTAGAAATATACTTTGGATAACGAGGGTCCAAAAAAAGAAAAAGAAGTGTTTTTTTGGGTCTTCTGGAGGTTCTCCCGTAATTCTTCCACCATATTGCTTGTAGCTAATAAATTACTAAAGAGTACTTTAGTAATAATAATATGATTTATATGAGTTTTCAACATAACAAGCTATATATGATCATAATTTTGATATATTATTAAAAATTATAACACAATTTTATATTTTAAATATATCTGATTTCATTAAAATTAAAAAAATAAAAACTTATTTAGAATGATATTAATTACTATCTTCGATCCTAATTATAAGAACTAGTTGACTAATTTAAAGAGATTAAGAAAAAAAATTAAGTTAGTTATTTATAACAAATATATGTTATCTTTCCTAAAATATTCTTATTAATCAAGTGTATTGACTAGAACTACCATTGTTAGAAGGATTAAAAAAATATATAAATATGAGAAACAAAATAGATTGTGGTCTTATATTTAAGATCAAAATAAAATTTAAATAAGGTCTTATATTAAATACTGGAGGTAGTATTTAATTAAAATAGTTTGTTGAATATGTATGTTGAAAAATTGTTGTAATATTAGCTATTTTATCTCAAAAATAATAATATAGATTTCCTGGGCGCACCGTGACAGACTGCCCCATTAAAAAAGCCCCTTGTAATTTTGGTTTGGGCTACCTTGTGGAAGACAAACTCTGTTGGGCCCAGGAAGTCGTTTAAGAAGGGTGTTTACATTTTAAAAGTATTTTTTTTATATCAGAAAATCACTTTTAAAATTATAATTTAGTTTCAATCTAAATATTCTCTATAACTAATCGAGAATTCGAGATGGCTTAACTTTTTTTTTTTTGAGCAAAGAGATGGCTTAACTTTTAAACATTTTTTTTTGCCTTAAACTTAGTGTTGTACTCCTCCGGTCCTTAATATAAGACCCATTTAACTAATTTGATTAGATTAAGAAAGTTAGGTAAGTTAGTTAATTATAAGAAAAGTGACATATTTTTCTAAAATACCATAATCATCTTTTTTAATACCCCCTCCTCTTCTATTTGATTATGGTTGAGGAGTATCTATAGGGGTAATTTAGAGAAAATTGATAAATATGAGAAATTGGTCTTATATTTAGGACAAAAACCAACTTAAGAATTGGGTCCTATATTAAGGACCGGAGGAGTATTTCTTTTTTAAACATGCATATAAAAAAAAATTCTCATCCCACCTTTTTAAAATAATAAAAATTTGACGTGATTGATTAGTTCTTTCTTTTTCCAAGCGGTGGTGTGATAATTGGAAGCTCAGTGGAAGCCGTTTCAGACGTCTGGCCATCTGGGTCAACTTACTTTTACTCTTGAGATGTTTTCCAGTAGAGGCTCTTCAACTTTTGAAATTTTCAAGGTCTTTATAGTCCCTCGAGATGGTTTGTATTTAACACTTATGTTTTTTTGTTTTTTGGTCTAGAGTATTTAACACTTGTGCTGAACATATACATGTGGTTGTATTGTGTAATGTGTAATACGAATATTAATTGCATGTAATGTTTTAATACTAAACTATATGCCTTTCTCTGTTTTTTTTAATTTTTATTTTGATTTTTGTCTTTCTATTATTCCTTCTGTGCATTACTATTAAATATATATATCTTTTACTTTCATTAATATGGTTTCTATTTCTGTCACACACACACACACAAAAATGGTTTCTATTTCTGACTTGTGTTCTTGTAGAGAGCAGAGCACACACCTTTCAATGATTCCACATCTCTTAATATTAAACGATAATGTTTACGTCAAATTCTTTATATTTATTATGTTTAATTTTCTAATTACAGATGATTATGTATCATATTTTTAAAATATTATTATTTAATTACAAATTAATATTAAACCACACAACAACTTCTGTACCCTTTTTTGATACTCCACTTAACATTATTAAATTACAATTTGATTATTAATATTTTTAATTGCATAAATTATAAAATGAAAGTATTAAACAAATTATTTTGTTCCATTTATGTATTACTATCTCCTGTGTTAAATATAAGAGCTAGTTGACTAATTTGAAAAAAATTAAGAAAATAAGTTAAGTTAGTTATTTGTAATAAATAGGTATTACCTTTTCTAAAATATTCTTGCTAATCAAGTGTATTGACTAGAATTACTATTATAAGAAGGACTATCTTAAGAAAAAAATATACAAATTGAGAGATAAAATGGATTGGGATCTTATATTTAGAATCAAAATAAAAATCAAACGAAATCTTATATTAAGGATCGGAGGTAATATAACTTAAGAATTTTAAAAACATGTTCTTTAGTGGAAAAATGGTTGAATTCTACATCCATCCCTGAACTTGGAATATCAATGCTCGGCGCAAAATCAAATTGAAGCCATTCTTTGCCAACTAAAAAGGTATTTGGATAAAAACAAACCATGATTTAAAGAATGATTTTTGAGAAAAAAAGTTATTTTGAGAATAGATTTTAAAAAAATAAATTTTGTAAAATTTTTTTTTAAATAAAGTAAGATTTTTTAGGTAGTTATTATCAAAAACACTTTCTTAATATGATAATTACATAAAAAAATAGATTTTAATTTATATTTTTGTTTGAAGTAATAAATTTGTTAATAATATATATTTTTACAACATAATAATAAATAATGTATAAAAATACAATTGATTAATAATTAATATGTGTATATATATATTTATAAAATATAAGATTTTATATGTTTTTGAAAAATGATTATTTTTTTGCAACAAAAGAAATTACCCTAGTCTTATATAGGGGTGTTCACGGGACGGATCGGGACCGGGACAGGCCCGTCCCGGTTCCGTCCCGATGAACAGTAACAGGACAGATTTTCTGTCCCGTGTCCCGGCCCGTCCCAGGGTTGTCCCGGTCCCAGTCGGGACGGGACGGATCCGGGACGGGACCGAGACGTCCCGAAATAATTTTTTTATTTTTATTTATTTTTTAAAATTTTTTTTAAAAAAATCTAATTTTTTTAATTATATTTTTTTGAGCTTAAATTTTATAAAAACATCTTTTTTATTTGTTTGGGCACTCTTAAACAAAAGCTCAAAATATTACATATAATAGTTATTAAAAACTCTAAACAAAAGCTTTTAACACAATAAAAACTTACTAAAAATTCTAATTATCAATAATCTCAAATCATTAACAAATATAAAAACTCTAAATAAATATATCCATAATTCCATACAATAGTCTCAAATCTTAAAAAAATATGAAAAAAATAATATTATATAAAAAATTAAAAAAATTAAAATTTTTTTTTTAAAAAAAGGAACCGGGACGGGACCGGGACGGGACGACCCCGTCCCGTGTCTCGTCCCGTCCCGGTCCCTTTTTTGTCCCGTCCCGAAAAATTTCGGGACGGATCCGTCCCGTCCCAATAAGACCGGGACCGGAACGGGTCGACCGGGACGGGCCGGCCTTGAACACCCCTAGTCTTATATATAAACTTTGAATAACCAATTTATAAATAATAAATAACTAGTTAAAATTAATTAAAAGTAATAAATGGGTGAGAAATATAATCTTGTTTACAAATATGTTCTTATAATAAATGAAAAAAAAAGAATGAAAGAAAATGTGTAAGAAAATACAATCAAAAAAGATATGACAAAGAAAAAAGAATAAATAATTAAAAATAAAATTAGAAAAAATATATTAAATATTAAGATAAAATCAAATTAAAACTTATGAAATAGATCACACTTTTTTTTAAATAATCAAGTGGCATAACAATTATGAGGTTGTATCGATGTATGTGTAGCATTTGTGCAACTAATTTTTTTAACAGCATATTACTTGTAAGGAAAAAAAAAGGAAATAAGAGGGCATGATTGCTAGCCTTGTTCATGTATATAATAACCAATATTCATCTGACACAACAATTTCATCTGACACACGGTTACTTCAAAAAGAAAACTTTTTTGGCTTTTCCTCAAACCATAGTTTACCCCTCCCAATCCATAGTTTTGGATCAAACCATGGTTTTTTAAAAAATTATCTAGCCCAAACTATAGTTTGGAGGTGAAAAGGCACTTCTTTCAAATTCCCAGACACCACCTAAATCAAAATTTTAGTGTACTCTGTTATCCACATAGATTTGTAAATTGTCAAATACGTAGACAAAAGCTTCCCTTACAGTAGTAAAAGAGTGAAAAATTTAGAGCTGCAAAACGAAAATCTTTCCCAGACAACTATAGTAAAAGTAAGGCAGCTGATCCAAGGGTTCAAGAAGCCTGATAAAAGCTCTAGTGACCGTACTTCTGAAACTCCCATTCGCTGTTATCTGCAGCAAGTCAGCAACAGAGAAACACCAAATAAGTTGGGGGGAAAACCATAAATACATATCAGTGAATATAGGAGACAAAAGCATGATTGCATACCTAAAGGACAAACTTGACGGGTCTTGAGCCATCGGCTGATGCAATGGAAGCGGAAAGCATGATTGCATACCCCTGAATGGAACAATAAATAAATAAGCCAAAGCAATAGTTTAAAGTCATCCTGCATTTGCTAAAGTAGCACCGCTAAAGTTAGAACAACGCAGAGATGCAACTACACCAGCACCAATAACAGACCTACATTTAGCATTATAGGGGCAATCCCCCTGGCCCAGAGGGAGAGTCTCATATGCATTGTGAATGAATTTATATTATTTTTGAGGAAATTGCTAAATCTGCCCCCTTAAAATTGTTTACTCGCATCCTTTAACGCTTATTTTAGCTATAAATTTCCATCATTCCACCCCCTTTTTAAATTTTATTCTGGTTTCATCCCTCTCCAGCACAGTTAAATGTCACAAACAAAGTGATACATGAGTGTATCTTGAACCATGAAGCATAAAAAAAAATATAACAAGGAAGGAGTTTAGGAAACAACACTATCACCCCAAACTAACGGAACTCGTCCGGTGTCACATACATCAAAATTTAGACGAGGTTGTTATGAACGAGAAGTGTGAGAGAACGAGGTTGTTATAAAAGAAGAGTGTGAGGGAACGAAGACCAACACAATGCTGGAGTAAGAGTGTGGAAATCCCATTTAGATGCAATCATCAAAATTCCTTCATGTATAGTTTCAATCGCATGGTATAACAAACTTTTTATCAAGTAATCTTTATAGAAAAAAATACTGCAAGGTGCTTAGTGTGGTGCCAAGATAATGAGGGGGGCACAGCAAAGGGGGGCACTTAAAAATTTAGGAGTTCAGAGTGATATTTATTTCTATGCGCTGTAACTCCAAACCTTAAGGTAAATTCTTCCTGTGGTCTTGAAAAGTGACATCATTATTATTAATTATTAATCATTCCAAGACTTTGTAAATATATATATGCACCAAATCATGCCTTGTATCAACATGCCCATGATAGATTCCATGCTTCCCAGACTAAAAAGGACTTAGAAGTAGGATAACGACGTAGGATACCCTTAGTTTCATCACAAAACTCACTCAAGAAGAGAAATATAAATCATAAAGTCAGTGAACGTGAAGTGACTGACTCATCAAAGAGAACCACCATGCAATTATTCTGACTCCAATCAATATGTCAGAGACATGATCACAACAAAGTTCCATTAATAAGAAACTAAAGAAATGTGTTACAGGGTTTTAGAACATACCCCAGGCTACGGTACATTCCTCACTGGTGGCACTAGCCTGGTTGGCCTGGCATTCAATGCCTGAAGCAGTCATGGAAAAGAATTAGTTCAGGCGCATGAAGCATCCATCGATTGAAACTTCAAACCAGATATACTTACAGAGATCCATGATGTGGTTCCGGCAGATAGCACAATTATCAACAACAATATCTGCGCAATCACAGTTCGATGAGCACCAAATCACAAACAAACACACGATACCAAGCACAATAATCTAAGACACAAAACAAGAAAACCGGAGAAGAGAATTAGGAGGGGGGAAAAGTTAGGGCAAAACAATAGTACCCCAAGCCCAGAGAGCGACGGCGTTCCACTTCTTAATCTCGAATCGCTTAGGCTTTTTGGAAGAAGAACCGGCAGCGTCGCTGGCGGGCACCATAGGAACGTCGGAATCAAGATTACCCATAGGATTCACCGATTCCAGTTTCGGGTTTGGTAATTTGATTTTTTTTTTTAATGAAAAAGAGGACAACAGGTAAAGATTACAAAAATCCCACGCAAAACACAAAAAAGGCCCTAACTCTACTCCCCATCCATCCCAGAAACTTCGGAAGGAGGGCAAGTAATTTGAATTTCCCAGCGGATCGTATACATAGGCGATGGGGAACGATAAATTAATATTAATAATGATAATGATATCATTTTTCAAGACTGTATTAATTTAAACAGAAATATTAATGGTTTTAAATTCAATTCATTGATCACATATCAATTAATCAATTAGTTGATTGATTTAAAATGATTCTCTTACAGAAATTTTTAAAATTAAAGGATATATTAACTTAAACAGAATTTTATCTGAAAGATTTATAATAAAAATTGAAAATTAAAAGGGATAAATACGCAGTGAAAAACATATAAAACCCAGTACAAGTACTGTTGACATAACTTTAGTCGTTGGGGGGAAAAAACACACAACTTTAGGCATCGATCTAGAAATACAGTTTGGATAACTTAAAAGGCTATTTTTAGAGGTTGTCCCCTACGGTAATAGTGTGATTTATACGAGATTTCAACACGAACATATCATATATGATAAATTTTTCGCCAACGAGAATAGTTTTGATATATTATTAAATATTATAACACAATTTTACATTTTAAATATGTGTATATATAGTTCTATTAAAATTAAAAATAAAAAGGCAGATGTCTCAAGAGTGACATGCATTTTTTAACTAAAATACTTCATCGGGAAAATCTCCAAAAAAAAATCTCTTACATTTTAAAATTTCAAATCATTTTTATTTACTACACCTTAATAGTAATTGACTATATTAAAAAGTAAGTAACAACGCATTTTTGTAGCAATACTTGATTTGAGATTTTAAAATTTTAAAATTATTTTTATTTTATCTCAAAAATTACAATATAGATTGACAGACCGCTGGCCCAACAGGGTTTATGTTCCACAAGGTTGCCCAAGCCAAGCATAGCGGAAAGTATATTACTCCTCCGGTCCTTAATATAGGACCCATTTAACTAATTTGATTAGATTAAGGAAGTTAAATAAGTTAGTTAATTATAAAAATTGTGACATGTTTTTCCTAAAATACTATAATCATCTTTCTTAATACCCCTCTATCTTCTACTTGATTATGGTTGATGGAGTATCCATAGGGGTAATTTAGAGAAAATTGATAAATATGAGAAATGGGTCTTATATTTAGGACCAAAACCAACTTAGCAATTGGGTCCTATATTAAGGACCGGAGGAGTATTATCATTATCATTATTATTATTATTTTGAGGAGGAGGGGATTTTTTATTTTTTATTTTTTGTTAAAGCATAAATATCTTCTTATTGGAAGCAATTCTATTCAAGGCACTGTCAGACATTAAATATGGATACCTCTCCGAGTAAATATTCGAACCTTAATTCTCTACGTTGCGAATGACTATTTCCTTCTACTAGACCCAACTCCCATTAGTGAGGAGGGTTTCTTTTATTAGTGTGTCCAACCTATTACCTGTATAGGCACAAAAATAAATTTCTTGGCCCCGGCCAATAAACTAAAACTTTATCATATATAGAATTTGAAGAATGAACTATAATATGCCGAAAAGAACCAGAAGAAGGATGAACTATAATATTCATGATTTGTGAATTACAAAATAAATTTTATATTCTATGTTGTTACATTGGCATTAACATTGATTTGATTTTCCTTAAAATTTAAAATCAAGCAGAAATTCATTTTGTTTTCTTAAAAATATTTAATTTTTAAAATTAACAGTATTTCTATAAAAATCTAATTTAACAATGAATATAAAATTATCAATATCATTATAAGATCATAATGCGTTTTATTTAATAGATTTTGTGAGCCCAGCTTAGGGCCTGTTTAGGTGACCCTCAAAACCATGGTTTGGGAGGCAAAACCATGGTTTTGATAAGATGTCACCTAAACAGTATCAATTTTGAGCCAATAATCTGAAACCATGGTTTCAGGAGAAGTGAATTCATTCTGCTTTTGGCTCAAATTGAAGAGATGATTGTGCTTGTCAGAGTAGATTTCAACAATAATATGACTTTAACATTTCTCAATTATTTTTTTATAAACATATTTAACATTATATCTTATAAACATATATACACATATTAATTATTTATTAATTAGATTATCTTATGTATTATTAATTATGTTGGTAAAAAATATATTATTAACAATTTTATTCTTTCAAATTAAAATATATTATAAAATTTATCTTTTTTATAATTATCATATTAACTTATGTTTTTTTAGTAATTTGTATATATAAAAAGTACTTCTGATAACAACTATCCAAACACTCTCACTTCTCAGAATCACCTTTTTACAAAATCTATTCTTTCCACAATCTATTCTCCAAAAGCTATTCTCCAAACCATAGTTTGGTTTCATCCAAACACACCCTTGATCTAATGACTAAATTTTGTTGCCTAATGATAACAGGAGCATATTGTCAGCCCAACAAATTTATGTACTAAGTGCCAAATTTGTGTAACTGATTCATTAATCTCAAAAAAAAAAAAAAATCACTAACATTTAATAATAAGCGTTGAGGTTGACTTATAAGTTTAAGAACCGCAAAGGAAAAAAGGATTTAAAACCTAGAAATCAGATTCCCTTCTTTTAATTTGTTAAATGTATTGTATGCCGCTTGAAAAAAAAAAAACCATTAATTACATCAAATCATGACCTCTACCATTTTCTTATCCTATATTTTTTTTTTAATTTTAAAAAGTGAGATGAGAATTTTTTCATAGGCATGTTTAAAAAAGAAATATAACACTATGTCTCATCTGATAGTATATTGTACTCCCTTCGTTCCTTATTATAAGAGACAAATAACCAAATTACGTGATCAAAAAATAATTAAATTAGTTGAGGACAATTAATATGTCAAAAGTATAATATTTTTTCCAACAATGCCCTATTAATAAGGAGAGAGACTATGAGAGAGAACAATTAAATTATTAAAGAAAGAGAAGTGGAAGGGAGGGAGAGTATGAGTTAGAGACAAAATAAATAGGGGTAAAATAGGGAATCAATACAAAAAAATAGATATAACTTTTAAGTATCTCTATATATTGAAACATGCCATGAGCATCAAATGTCTCTTATAATAAGGAACAGAGGAGTAATTATGAGGATATATAAGATTTTATCTTTATTTTAAAATATGACACTTAAGAATTTTAAATTTACAATACGATTGATGAGGCGTGAGAGTGGCCCTTGTCCTTGAGTGACTATCGGTGAGATGAGAATTGTACGTCTCAAACTTAGTGCTAATGATTTTTCTTTTTGACCAGGAACTAAGTGCCAATAATGATTCGGGTTTAAATAGTCATTCTATTTATTCTTCTTTGTTAAATAGTTTTAAAATTAAAATTACAACTAATCAAGACCGCTTGACTTTTAAACATTTGTTAAATAAACATAGGATTACTTTCTAGAACATGCATATAAAAACTTACTCTAATCGCGCCTTTTTTGAATAAAAAAATTGTAAGATAAGATAGTAGTGGTCACCGTACCTTTGATGTAATTAGCAAGCTCTTTCCTTCTTTTTCCCCTTTTTGCCAAAAAAAAAATGTCAAAAGTTATATATATATATATATATATATATAATTTCCACGTGGAAGAAATACCTACCATACTGTCTCTCTCCTTTTTCTTTTTCCTTTTTTTTTTGGTTTTTATGTTTATATTTTTAGTATTCCTTTTATATTTAATATTAAATACTAATTTAATCCTGTTCATAAGTCACTTCTAACATGTTTCACACATACGAAGAAAATTTTAAAATTTATTAACTCTCATTTAAATTTTAATAAGTTTTTAACTTTATTTATATTTAATATACATTATACTACCTCCGATTCTTAATATAAAAGCTCGTTTGACTTTTATTTGGTCATAAATATAAAACCTCGTTTGACTTTTATTTGGTCATAATATAAAACCTCATTTGACTTTTACTTTGGTCCTAAATATAACACCTCAATTTACTTTCTTTCATATTTATCTATTTTTTTCCTGAGATAGTTCTTGTAATAATGATAGTCCTAACCAATACACTCGATTAGCAAATATATTTTTAGAAAAATAACATCTATTTATTACAAATAACTAACATAACTAATTTTATATATTTACTTAAATTAGTAAATTACTTTTATATTAAGGACTAGAGGTAATATTTTATTAGCATAAAGTTAATACAATATTAAATAAAAAGTAAAATTGTACATTCACGTAAAAATTTTCTCTCTTTATCTTATAAATAGCATCAAAAAGTTACTTCTCTTTCTAATTTATAAATAGGATGAAAGGAGTATCTATCTTTCACTCTCGTTAATAATGGTGTCCAATTCTAAGGGTTATTTTTATTTCTGAATTGTGTCTTATTATAGAAGGCATACCTTTCAATGACCCCACATCTCTTATCCCCAAATTATTAAAGGGTTCTCAAGAAAGTGATGATAGTTACTGTACTCCTTCTGTTCAAAATATAAAATAAACATTTATTAAGAAATTAATTAAAATTATTTTAAAATGATAAATATGTAAAGCGTGTATTTTTTTCATCAAATATGTCTTTGTTAAAAAAGATAATAAGTAAGAGATGTAATAAATCAATAAAAAAGAAAAGAAAATATATGTTAGGGGTAGTAAAATTGAAAAGAGCTTATTAAATATTTAGACAAAAATAAATATTATCTTATGAAAAAAACCAAATCCTTTCAATAAAATTTATCTTATACTCCTCTGATCATTAATATGAGATCCGTTTAACTAATTTGATTAGATTAAGGAAGTTAGGTGAGTTAGTTAATTATAAGAAATGTGACATGTTTTTTCTAAAATATCATAATCATATTTCTTAATACCCCATTTTCTCTTCTACTTGATTATAGTTAAGGGAGTATCTATAAGGATAATTTAGAAAAATTAATAAATATAAGACATGGGTCTTATATCTAGAACAAAACTAACTCAATAATTAAATCTTATATTAAGGACCGGAGGAGTATTTTGAATGGAAGCAAGCATTTCATATTTCATGGTG